TACCTTAAAAAGTGTTTGTTTAAACTGTGATGCCCGAAACACACCTTCTTCAACTCATACCTTCAAGGTCTTAAGAGCTAACCAAAGCATGTTTTTATTAGGTACAAAGGGGACACTAAAAAATACTTTCTACATACGTTTGAACACCGGTAATGAACATTTTGACATCTAAATTGGGGTTTAATAATTTATATTAATTTTAGTATCTGAACGTAATGTCTGCAACATGGAATCACCCCTAAAGGAGCTTTGTCTTCTTAGATTTGATTAGCTTTTTGTAGTTTTTTTTGCGGGTTGTGTGATAGTTATGCCTTATAGTTTCATCAAGAGGAAATTGCTATGTTAACTTTCTTGTTAGAGAGTTCCGTTAAAATCTTTCTCCAAGCAAAACACTCATTATTGAACCATCTTTCTTAATGTTTTTTTTTTGTTGCTTTCTTCTGGCCTGTTTAGTTTCAGTGTAGATTGTCGATATCAGATATAACCCCAAACTGAAAACAGACCATTGCCAAAAACAGATCTACCTGTCCTTCCCCTCTGCACAAACAATGCGCTGCCGCCCGCCTGACAAGCCTCCCTGATTACTTTGCGACGCGCGAAAGGACTTAAGGAACCTGCGGCCTCGACCTCAACAGTTTGCCGTCTCCAACCGGCCAGTGGTCTACGAACGACAGCCCGTCAAAGTTGCAACTTCCCATTTGTCTCTCGTGGTACAACTTGAGAGCATTTGTTCAACTTTCCTCAAAAGATCATTCCATTACTTCTCACTACCTCTTCTCTTGACTGCCTATTGACATTGTCAGCAGAAATTTTGTGTTGTTGAAAATCTCAATAATGATAATGATAATGATAAATAAATAATATTTAATAAATCACTCCAATTATAGTTTAAAAAACATTTCGGAGGTGGTCTTGTAGATGACGATGAGGCCCGGTACTCTCAAGAAATGTTAGGACCTCTCTAATTCTGTAGCAATTTATTGACCACAATTTGTGTTAGTCTTAGAACTAGGCATTTCCTTCATGAATGTGTTTTTCCTTGACAACGTAGAATATCTTGTGAGGATCTTTGTAAGGTATCACGCTCAAGAGGGTGACTTTGTGGTCAAGTTACCTTATGTTAACTTAATAATTACTTTTGTTGATCCTCTCACAGCTCACATCCACTTTAGCCTGGTTCAAATGAAATTGATCAGATTGCTATAGTCATTGCTGTTCTTGATGTTGGAAGTTACATAGGTGAGTGAGTATACAACCATGTTCATGACAGTACATTACGCGCGCAGGGGTCCTAGGTTCATGGGGCTACCAACACAACAGTCCGCCGTTCGCTCTTGACCTGCGGTAAAGAAATGACGGCCATTAGAAAATTTTAACTCCGTGAATAATTATCAAATCAACCCTTGACATTAATTGGTCATTTGGAGCCGTGTGTACGCAACATTTCAGGAAATTTATAATCAATTGGATTAGTTGTTATATGCTCGAAAAGTATAGGAATTCAGTGTGTAGCTTCAGATTCAGGTCTTAGCAACTTTCATAGTTTAAATCTGTGTCAACAAATAAGCAAAATTCTCTCTTTTCTTCAGTTGCCACAGGGTTAGATGCGACTGCCGCTGCTGTTGTTGTGAGTTGTGCTCTAGCTGTCAAGTGCATCGATCAAGGATGGATCAGGGATAAAGGGCGAATTTGACAACCACCAAAACAACAATGAGTATTATTTTTTAAGTACAATTTGTGATGTAATATGTCGTGAACTATGTGAAATTTTAGTGCAAATTTACATTTTATCTGTCTTTAAGTCAGACTGAACGACAAAAATGATAATTTTAGTAGCTAAATCAGTTTTGGGAAAAAATATAATCTCCTCACTACTGAAAGGTTTTTTTTCCTCACAACATTTACTTGAGATGTGACGAAATTAATGTGGAAATTATTTTAAGGATTCATTATAGCAGAAAAAAAAATCTGACTGGTATTGCTTCACACTAGGTCAGCAGGAGATTATATAATATTCTAATAGAACATAAATAAAGTAAATGATCATTTCACAGCTTCAAGTTTAGACAAGTAACTACAGGAAAAATTGACATAGCCACAGTCAGCAACACTGATAAGAAAAGTGAATGATAACAAATGTGTTTCCCAAAATGTAATGTCTGCGACATTTTTCAGTTATGTCTGCTACGCAAACTTTTGTTTGTAGAATCATTGGAATAAGGTTGCGTGGAATTTGTTTTGGACAGTTGAAAAATTTAATTATTACCATGGTTTGAAGGCATTCCACGGCTTCTTCTGAATTTATATCATGCACTTGTTAGTCCTTATTTAAGGTCTCGGTAAAGGAAAACGAGGTGCCCACAGGCTACAAAGGCAAGTTATATATCAAATTAAAGCTAAAAGACTAAATTACCTTATGAAAGATTTTATTTCATCCAATTTCAAAAGGCGCTTAAGTTTTTTGCTCTCGAACTCAGAGGTATCGAGTTTACTGCTGAAGCTCCAGCCCTTTCGCGTTGTTAAATATTCACTTCCTTTTTATTGTATCTGATTGACAGATAAAAGACCTAAAAAAGGGTGTGAGGAAATTTGCATATGTCTAGTATTAGCGGAATTATTGCATTTCAGACTAAAAAGTCGAATCTCGAGCGTGATTTACGCAAAGAAACTGACATAAAATGAGTTACAAAGGGAAATCGGAAAATTCCTCACAGTCTTCCTTTACAGTCTTTTTTTTTTTCAACAACCAAGCTATTTCTTGTATGACGTCCACGCTAAGACAGCTCCAAAAGTCCCTCAATAAGTTTGCGAAACTCAGCACAAAACATCACTTTAAAACGCGATTATCTGCCAAGGAGTGTTTCTCTATTTCTCTACAACCTAGAAAATGAACCATTGTAATTTTAGTCTATTTTTTTCTAATAACAAAACCCCTATGCTTGAGTTTGTGTGAGGGGTTTTTTTTTTTTGCTTTTCCTTTTTCTTAATATGTCATTTAATAACGCCTTTATTTATAATGTTTGTTCTGCCTAGATTAGCACTATGGCTACTTGCAGGGCATAAAATATTGTAAGCTTATGGATCTTAAATAAAATACATTGTTGTTGGTGATCATGAAAAAGGTACCGTTTATTGTAACGGTAAACTCGTAGAAAGTGAAAAATTTCTGTGTAACAGGGGCACCCAACGAGAATATAGTTCAAAACCACTTAAACATAGCATTGTTAAACGTGTTTTAGTATTTAAACGGTGGATATAGGCATATTTTTATCCCCTATAAATTTTCCATCTGTTCGGATTTCCTAGCTGAAAGTCTAGTGATCCGAAAATTTTAGGGATCAAAACTTACCTGTTTAAAAATTTCAGCCAGAAAAAAGCCTCCCGAAAATTCTAGGTGACCTTTTTAGGGTAAAAATCCGTTGAAAATGGGCAATTTTACCATTTTTAGATGTTCGAAAATCCTAAGAGGCAGGCAAGCAAGAAATTTTACAACAAATGTTCCGAAAATTCTAGACCTCAAATCGTCTTCCGAACAGATATTTTTCCGAAAATTGTCGTTGGGTGCCCCTCGTGTAACTCGATGTAAAAGCAGTCTAGAAGTGTTGAGACTACCAAGAATGTCTTCATTGCTTGAAAAATTTAAAAGGGTATTTTCCGCGATGTTTACATTCTGCGGGTTCCCCACCCCGTCATACCCCCTCTTGAGCCAATCAAAGAGCGCTTTCTGCGACATGTACCGCGGACCAAATATCGCTGTCACTACAATATGGCTGCTAGCTTCCTGGTAATTTCTACTCTTTCAATTATTGAAATCATGCTCCTGGAACGAAATGTAGACTCATTCACAGATTTGAATCAAGCCTTCTTTTGTGCGAGGAAGTTTTTGAACTGAATGAATGGAATCGGAACCGGAATTGATGCAATTCCCAATGGTAAGAGCTGTAAATTTCCGCTTCACGGAGCGTTATCAAATGGCACTACATTGTATCACTTTAATAAGACGGTTATTGGCAGCTCGAGATCTAACTACCTTTACAATCATTGCTAGCTTTTACACTGTCGAATTAATATTATACAGGAACATGTGCAGCCATTTTGAAACCGGTATTTTGTTCGTAGGGACCAGGTAATGAAATTGACGCCCGTAAATTAATCCTTCCGGAATGATTTTCAAGCGGTATTCAGTCTGGAAGGGTGAATACCACCCAGAAATAACCCTGACTATGACCTGAAACTAAAACTTTGATCTATGCGGGTTTTTACGTGCATAAAACTTGTCCAACGCTGACCGCCAACATTATAGTTTCTCAGCCATGATTTCAAACGGGGAAAGATTTTATGGACCCCCGAAGATAAACCAACACAATGTTAACGTAAAACTTTGAGTGGAATTTATTACCTCATTTTCAGTATCTGACACTTGTTAACAGTGGTAAGGTAGGTGGAAGAAAATGAAATTTCCACAGAACAGCTGCTTTTGTGCGAATCTCATAGATCATCTTAAGAACAATACAAGTATCTGCTAAATAATGCAGCTCTGTGGCTTGTCAAAGGTGTATGTCTCTTGTAATAAACAAGAGACGCATATCGGAAGAACCTACATCGCCCAAAACTCCACTTTGAATTATTTATTTTCTGATGAATTTGTAACTAGTCAACTTTCTATTTCACTGGGCCAAGTAAGATCACTCTAGTACTGTGACCAAAACAAAAGGCTTCTTATGATGCATAGTAGATTAATGTACATACAGCAATCAAATTATTTTCTCAGAGTAAATGTGAGCCTTGCAGGTAAATGCACGTCAACTAAGCCACTGGAGAAAAAGAAAACCCCCAAACCCTAGCCTTGAACATCAGGATTTAAAACAACTTAAGGTGAGTGTGCTTATCATTTAGCTGCCCGGACCACATTCCTCAGGTGCATTTTGTGCAGTACAATTTGCAAACTTTGTTCCAAGTGCAAAACAACTCAAAATGTTCGAATGTTTAAGGTCTTAAAC